AATGGGTTTAACCGGACATGTCCAGTTAGAAAACTACGATGGGTTTTGTTATGACTCAAAATATGATATTAGAAATTAGAATATGGGGAATTTTATTTTTACACCGAAATATGCCTAAAATCACATTTGTAAAAAATCACGTATGCCACCATATCATAATCTTGTTTAATATGTCACATTTTATGTTACTTTTCATCCAAAAGTCACATACTGAAACTAATTTGTACCACCAATGATCTGATTCTTTGTTACTTTTTCATTAAAAAACCACCTACCCAAACTGCATCACGTTGCCTCTAGTCCAATAAGTCTCAATTTACCCCTGTTTTGAGTCTCAATTTTTTTTTTTGTGGGGAAAAAATGAGTTTTGTAATAATGATTTTTTTGGATAATATGTGGTTAAAAAGAAGGAAAAACTTTTGAATTTACGTGTAAAATTATTTTATTGGAAGAATGTGTGATTTTAATTGAGTATGAGAAAAAAATAGTTTTTAAAGACTAAGGCTCAAATAGGGATTTAGTATTTACACATCACATATACTTCCTCATTTAATTCTTTTTTTGTGAATTTTATACTAACACTAATTTAATTGTCGGAAAAATAATCAGATATAATTTCGTCTCCTTTCGCTGATATCACTCGAAGTGTTTGGACTTCAATTTCAAGCTCAGATTGCAACTATCGATTTCTAACATCATCGCCTAAAAATTATAGTGAGAATGCAGAAAATCTCGTTACACCACACATGAACAGTATGAAAATGATCTGATATCTGTTAAATTTTGAAAAAAATAAATAAATAATATTTCTTAGTGTGAAGTTCAAGGATTATCAACATATATGTTCAATTAATGACCATAGGCTTGACTGAAATAGCAAATGGATGGAATTTTAAATAGATGTGGAATGATTATAGCTGATGTTATGTCACCAATTCTATGTTATGAAATTATTTGCAACCGAGTTGACACCATGATAGTGATTTGGCTCAGTTTTCAAGATTCTTAAACTTTGCTAAAAATACAAGAAATGAAGGCTTAATACGCAAATGGAAAGGACATTTTGGTCATTTTAACCTCATTCAGAACGCAAATGGAAAGGACATTTTGGTCATTTTAACCTCATTCAGAATATTCGAGATGATTGATCACAGATAATAATGATTAGTCTGAGGGTATATTATTGATTATTTAATTTAAATAATTTCTATTAGATTGAGAGTGCAATCTTGCTCTAATGACGGATCAAGAGTTGATCGAGTCAAGATTAATTTAATAAAACTTAGTCTAATTAGATCCGAAAATTCCTCGGTGACTTCAAAATAAGAACTAAAATAAATTATAAAATTTATAATTTATCAAAAATTGCACTATATAATGATTTGGACGTACAAACAACCTAGCATACACGTGGGTTGCCACACATGGAGGCGAGTGTGCTTCTTAGTGATGAAAAATGCAATAATATGTGTGTGTTGGGGAGGGGGAGGGGAATAGTCCCTTTTTAGCTTAAGGAATTTTTTCCATCTCTATACTAGGGGTGGCAACCGAGTCGAGAGTCTCGTCGGCTGGGCTCATCAAAAACGAGCCACGAGAGTTTTGACGAGTGGCTCTTTGGCTCGTAAAAAATGTGAGAAAAAAACTAAAAAAATTTGACGAGCGGCTCGTGAGCTCACGAGCTCTACCCTTGAGCACGAGCCGAGGTCGAGCTCAACTCGTCACGAGCTCGTGGGTAGATGGCTGGCCGGCACGGTCGATTGCCACCACTACTCTATACTATATTCCATATTGATGTTGAATATGTCCATTTTCTAATATGACCTCAGAGAAAAAATTAGTGAAGTTTTTTCAGAGCACTTTGGAGGAGGATCGAAGATTTGAATGTAGAATCGTTAAGAGCGAAAAGAAAAAAAGAATTTTTAAAACACACTAGAAACGTAATATTTTAAACTCCTATACGTGATTTTTAATAAAATCATTCAATCTATAATTTGTATGCATAAGGTAATCGAATCCTATTGTAAGATATTTTTCATCACAAGAAATTCAATCTTTGTAGTGCTAATATCCATTGACAAGAACATATTTATTTTTATAGTTGAAAAAAGATTCATAATTCATGAGTTAAATAATTGAGGTGGTGGCGGTGGCGACCATGCATGGCGGACAGACAATGGAATGGGCGGCGGAGGTGATAGGTGCATCCATCTGTGCCATGTGAGAGACCATATGGGACAAAACATACAGCACACTCCATTACAAGTTTGTTTGTTAAACACAAACAACACGACATTAATTGGTGCGAATGAGAATATAGTTCGGAGAATCAACGGCACCGGTTTGTCTACTCAATTTATCAATACTGACATTTGTTTTCATGCACAACGCTGGTGTTTTTTTTTTTTTTTTGCGTGAAATTTATCTACTTAGCCCTTGTTTGGTAGTAATTAAAATTCGAATTTTAATATAGGTCAGAGCCAATAATTAATTTTAACCATATATTTCATGCTCCACAACTTTTCGACCACACGTTTCATTATTTTTTATCAAAATCTACTAGATTTATTGGCGCAAAACTCCCTATCCTTCGACTGTATTGTGCAGTATCCCCCATCCTTTCAGATTGGTGAAACCAAACCTTTTATTTGTGCCAACTACAATTCCAAAACTTTTAAATTTCATCTTCTTCCCTAATTTTGTAAGGGTAAAATGGTAATTTTATATTATTTCGTGTAAAATAATTAAAATCAAAAAGAACAAAGGAAAATAGAAGGGCTTGAGGAAGAAGATGTAGTTGGAGAGGGGGGAAATTGGGGAAGAAGATGGGTTGGGTGGGGTTCAAATTTTTTTCTTTTTGGTCTTTTATTTTAATTATTTTATAGTAAATAATATAAAATTATCATTTATCCTTTTAAAATTGGAAAAAAATATATAAAGTTTCAAAGTTTTGGGAGTGGACTCCTGGAGTGAACTGCTCATTTCTATCTTGCCCCAACCCAAGGAAGGGGCTCAACCCTAAACGGGCGATGGAAATTACAAAGTGAGTACTTTAGGTGCAAAGGAAATTTTCGATAGAGCGGTAAAATGCGTAAAAATTGGAAAGGTCATAGACAGGAGTAGATAGACTATCCTATATCGTGATCACTCTCTTCAACCAAATGAAGAAAGTCAAGATCAGATACAAGGAAACGAAGACCTTCAAGAATAAATATTGGATCGGGAAGAAAAAGGGCAAAAAAAAGTCAAGCTTAAGCGCATGTGGCACGAAAAGGAAATTCAATTTCGATAGTAAATTGAATACATGACTCTAACCCATGATACAATTTGTATTTCCGTCCAGATGATTCGAACACCAACTTTGAAAATCAAACAGAGAAAATAAAAGAAAACAACTACCAAAGTGGGGAGCTCACCTTTTTTTGGCTTCCCTAAAATCGAATATTTTGAAAGAATAAGTTTGTGATCACAATTACAATTATTTCTTTTTAATTTTGGTCATATTCAATGGTTTTGACTCCTAACTTAATAGAATTAGACGGTAAGAGGTCTTCAACATCAAAGCACACGAAGGAGTTTTCCACTAATATGAAATGATAGGGGTGTATTGCATAATAGGATCAAAGGATATTGGTTTTTGCGCCAATAAACCTAATTTACTAAAAATCTAATTTTAATCCCCAACAATCAAGGAATTAGACTTCGATGTATATTCTTAAAATAATTATTTCAATTATGCAATCATAAATGATTGTTAGGCAAAGTTTCCCTTTTTTACGATAGTTATATTAGACTAATTTCATGTAAAACACTTATAATCAAACAATATACTTCTAAAAAATTATCTAAATATATTCAAAAATAATTTCTTAACCCCTATTTTGTAGAGATTAAAATCAATTTTTTAATAAATTTCGATTTTAAAAAATGATGGTTAAAAAATGTGAATATCGTAAAATATGTGATTAAAATTAATTATTAACTTTAAGTTGAATTAAAATCTAGATTTAATCCCGTAACATAATTTCAAAAACACAATGATACTTTTCAAAAACTCTCTACACACTTTGGATTGCTTTTCCGTTAGATTAGGCATTTACCCACTTGGATGGTACAGTTTCAATTTCACAATTATTAAGAAATATTCCTCTTAATCGACACCACTTTTGACTAATTTTGTTGCATCAGTTGTGTGGAGACCACTGAGTAACATAAAAAATCTATCAATTCAGCCGCCAAAACTCATATCCACGAACACAATTTGTTACACGTTCACAAGAGCAGATCCAAAAGTGTTGTATTAGTCTCGACCTACATGATGAGATAGACCTGTAGTATTTGAACTGAAATAAATTCATCGTCTCATACAGATGAAACTTATACCAAAATTTAATAGGATTATTTGTCGAGAAACCACAACTCTATCCTCGCAAAAATATATGAGAATGAGGATTCCAAATATTATCCTTTTATCAACTCGACATCATAAAAAAATATTCAGTAGTCAACTACATGATTATTGGCCTCAAAGATAACGTATCGACTTAGGATTGAGCTAGTTCAAACTTCAAACGCCAACCTCGATAATTATTCGCATGTTATACTGCGTCCAACTCCTACAGTTGGAGTTGGTTAATTAATTCTCATACTACCATATTTCAAACTTTATATACTTCAGCCAGCAGTTACTATTTGGCACACAGGATTAAACATGTGAGTATATTAACTAGATTTTAACTAATTTTTACTAGTATATAATTCCTCTATACCAAACAACGGACAGTTGACTAGCTAGTTCTTACACGTTAAAATTGTTAGTTGTATCTGCTTCCTGGCAGGATGATATAAATATAATTCCACCCTATGAGCTGAACACCTCTCCCAGCCCGAACCATGGATGAATTTCTTGCCCTGTGCAAGCACGGAAAAGAAAATGCACTCTCCCTACGCAGGAATTATCCTGGTCAGGTTCAAAGGGACTTTCTCAGCCTGACCTGCTAACATCACGGCTGAACAGCCAGCAATGAAGCAGATGCAGACACCCCTGGTGCGTTTTTCATCAATTAAAGACCAAATATGCACTTAATAGAGAAACTGAGTTTTTATTATCAACTACTAAGAAAATTCTTATGTTCCCAGATAAAACTGTCTTGCATCCAAACAAACTAAAACCATTTACTTACCTACTGCTTGAAGATGAGATTTCAGATCATTCTCGAGACTGGCCAACCATGCATCATGGCTTCAGGATATTCAGTTCCACATCAGGCAGTTCACATTATCCTGTTAGAAAGTACCTCCACTTCAATGAAATGAGATTTGAGTAATAGAGAATTTAGGGAGTGATGCATGACTAACTTAAGGACTAAGTGCTAAATCAAAATAACTTGGCCCTTCAAATGAGTGAAATGATCTTGCAAGACATTAATCTGGCTGCTATAATTTTTCTTGCATGCTATATGAATTCAAATTTAACATATATGCTGAGCATCGCGGAAATTGATTACATACTCAGATATTGAATACCATTACACATTTGTCCCCATTCCATAATCTTTTGTTAGTATCTCTTTACATGCGAAGAACAGAACAGCTTTCATTTTTATGAAAAATGTATCAAAAGTAATTGAAATTAATGTACGTTCATCTCCCTCCCAACCAACAGATGAAGGCTAATGACTGAAGTAAGTACGACTAACATAATTAGATTAAGAATAATGCTACTTGTACATAAGGAGCTACATAAAGTTTTACAGATTGATTGACGAGGTGTCAAAAAGGGAGTGAAAAAGTTTTTTTTTTTTTTTTTATGAAATTTTGATCCAATCATATCTCATCACATCATATGTTTGTAAACCAATATGTAAGTGGTGACATACATGTAGCACAACCGTTAGATTAATACCCACACATTTGGAGGGACTTGAATTAGCGACCTTTTCCTAACCAAAGTCCTGAAGCCCCAGCCTTACTACAGATAAGCTTGGTATCATTGGCCACCCAAAAATGTTTTTTATCAGCCAAGAAATAAAGAAAAATAAGCGTACACCTCAACTTCCAATCTTGCTAAGTTTCCATATATAACATTTTAGCAATAAGGTCAACTAACAGTCTCAAGAACTCTTTCTTAAAACACACTTCTTTTCTTAGTTAGCCAAGTTTTGGAGATTGTCTAAGCCACAAGAAAATAAGCTTAAGGACTCACCTTCAGCCATTCATAGACTTTATGTAATCCTCAGGCAGGTAGATCTCTCCTCCAACCTCACCATGTTGCTCCCCACTGATAGTTTTCTTCGCAGCTAGGAACTCAGCACTCATAGAATCCATACCCTGCTGGACCGCTTCCTCTGCACTCCCATAACCATGCTCCTCTGCGTACTTTCTTACATCCTCCGTTATCTTCATGGAACAAAACTTAGGCCCACACATAGAACAGAAATGTGCCACCTTTGCACCATCAGATGGTAAGGTTTCATCATGGAAAGACAGGGCAGTCACAGGATCCAGTGACAAAGCAAATTGATCCATCCATCGGAACTCAAATCTAGCCTTGCTCAGTGCATCATCCCAAGCTTGAGCATGTGGGTGACATTTTGCCAAATCAGCAGCATGTGCGGCTATCTTATATGCTATAACCCCAGCCTTCACATCGTCTCGATTAGGCAAACCAAGATGTTCTTTGGGAGTCACATAACAAAGAAGTGCTGTGCCAAGAGCCCCAATATTGGCGGCACCAATGGCAGATGTGATATGATCATATCCAGGAGCAATATCAGTTGTCAAAGGTCCAAGAGTGTAGAATGGTGCTTCATTACACCATTCCAGCTGTTTTTGCATATTCTCAGGAATCTTGTGCATTGGGATATGGCCAGGCCCTTCATTCATGACCTGAACGCATAGATAATATGATCTCAACAGCAATAGTAGGCAGACAGAGAAGTTTGCCAATACATTAAGGATGCTTTAAAAAAAATACACGAAGTTAAAACTATGATATGATTTTTCAGAAAAAAAGGGAATATTCAGGATTTAATAGGAAAGAATTATATACCATATATTATAAAATTTGAAGCAAATTTACCTGTACATCCTTTTCCCAAGCTCTACGAGTAAGTTCTCCTTGAGTTAAGAGCTCTGCAAACTGAGCAGTATCATTTGCATCATATATTGACCCAGGCCTCAATCCATCACCAATTGACAAAGATACGTCATATTGATTACAGATATCCAGTATCTCATCCCAATGTTCATAAGCAAAGTTCTCTTTGTGATAAGCTAAGCACCACTTGGCATGAATAGATCCCCCACGAGAAACTATTCCAGTCATTCGTTTGGCTGTTAATGGGATGTACCGGAGCAGGACTCCAGCATGGATTGTAAAATAATCCACACCTTGCTCAGCCTGTTCAATCAATGTTTCCCTAAAAACTTCCCAATTCAAATTCTCTGCAATGCCATTCACTTTCTCCAATGCTTGATAAATGGGCACAGTCCCAACAGGTACACCAGAGTTACGAAGGATCCATTCGCGGGTTTCATGGATGTGACGGCCTGTTGAGAGATCCATAATGGTATCAGCACCCCACATTGTTGCCCATTGAAGCTTGTGAACTTCTTCCTCAATGGAGCTCACAACGGCAGAATTCCCAATATTAGCATTCACTTTCACCAAGAAGTTGCGTCCAACTATCATTGGCTCCAACTCTGTATGCTTCTTGTTAGATGGAATAATTGCACGACCACGAGCAACTTCTGATCTCACAAATTCTGGGTCAAGTTTCTCCCGAGCAGCACAGTATGCCATCTCTTCAGTTATAGTTCCCTGCTTAGCATAGAACATCTGCGTATACCTCAGACCACCCAACTTCTCCCTCCTGTCAATCCACTCCTTCCGCAACTTGGGGAGTCCTGTTTAACAACAGTCCTAATAAATATAAGAAAGCTGAAGAATGCAATAGTTTAACAATAAATTTAAAATGCAGTGGAGGAATATCAGAAAACTAATGCCAGACAGAATAAAATATCATCTGTCAATGATCAAGATACACTTCCAGAAAGAGAATGATGATATTTCACAAATAAGTTATGCTGAAAAATCAATTAAAAGAAAACATAGCTAGAATCTTTTGCATATCCAAATAATCTCAGAACAGTAAAGGAATAGAGATGTGGAATATTTCGTACGCATACCAGTGCGCGGGCTTATGTTCTGCGGACCACTTGTGTCATAGGTATCAAAATGTGGTTCATCTCCTGCTAGGTGTATGCGTCGAAATGGAACTTTGAGCAAATGACCAGATTGCTCATGAATGACTTCCCTGAAAATCAAACTCATAGCATCAAAGATCAGAGAAAATGCAAATGAGAGATAAACATATGTATGCATGCTCAGATCTCTGTTCAAGCATGTCTGCATGCAATTGTGAAGAGGGAAATTGTAAATAAGATGACAGAAATATTTTAAACCACAAACACAGATAGTTTGGCAGAACCTACGTGTATTCTTTAGAGCTTCTTGGGAAGCATTCCTCAAAGGATGGAAGTGGAAGAAAATCTGGAGCATTAGGATCAACTGTATGCTTCCGTTGCTTGGGCTTTTCCATATTGGTAGTAGGGGGATCAAAGGTTAATGTAGCTTTGGGGCCTGCAAAAGAAGTGGACCATATGCCCCTTCTCCGTACGCTAGCAATATGCGCAGTCACATCAATCCCAGGCAAAAATGAACTGTTAGGAAACTTCAAGGGAGCAGAGTTATTCCCATTATTTCCAAAAACTGATGTCAAATTAGCTTGCACAGCAGCCATATCTGGAAAAACGATCAGGATACGAAACGATATAGTCAATATTTAACGAATTAATTCCATATACATGAATCACAATTAGGAGGTTTGAAACTATAATCTGAAGAACAAAACCAACCAGAAATGTGATTATTTTGATCATATAGTGTAGATGAAATATCTCAACCATCTTTGATGCATATTATTTTTCAACCAATAATCAGAGCAATGAATGCAACCTAATGGAGGCCCAACCAATTCAAAAGGGATAATGATAGCAAAGATGAATCTTCACTGAAAAATCATCTCAGAATTGTCAACCTACTACTTAGTTTTATTTCATTATGCTTTATATGTGAACAAATGTATGCTGATAGTTGTTTTCTACACAAGCATTTCATCCTATTTGAAAATAATACCGACTCTTGAAAATGCAGATAAAAACGGCCAGAAGAATATTCTGATTTAAGGGGGCTTTTCTTCAGGTCTCCTCTGGTATTGTTCTCAAGTAGTTAGATAAATTAGCAACCGTCAAAAGCTTCAACATAAGCATGCCTAAATATTCCTGAAGATAATACTTTGAAATACATCTAATTTTTTTCAGAGACTAGTTATAGAACATTTAATGCTGAGTTTAAAAATACTATTTAGTTTACGTTTTCATTTTGATGTGTTATTTTGTTACATCTTTTTCCTTGATCCCATATCATGGGATAGCAAATGATGTATCTGACCTCAATGGTGAATGAGATTGTCCAACCGTTCAAGTGCACTAAACTCGGGTATAATATGCATGACCTAAATTAGTCTGTTATAAAGGAGAACAAGACACACATTAACAGTCTAATGAGTACACGGTTTTCATTTTAAATTTGGAAGGCTTTTTTTCTAAAAGTACTCAAGATATTGAAACCCAAACCAGGCTTAGAATTCTTTTTTTCTTTTCGAGTCAAAGATATTTGTTTCATTTGTCAAAGTAATTATCTAAGTAGGTGTTCAAAAGGTTCATAAGCTACTTTTTCTTGTTGGACTAGTTTCATTTTTTTTTTTTTTAATATTAAATTTCTTCCCCAATTCCATGCAGCCTCGTCCCCCGCCTCACAAAAATTTATAGCAAACTGAGACCAACATAGAAGAAATGTATAAATAAAAACAAAGAAAATCTCATGACTAATTTGGAAAAAGACT